ATGCAATATTGTAACGCATTACTTTTAAAAGTAACTTTCCCCAACACTGTTTCCCCAAAACTACAGCTTCAAAACACCAACACACACAACATCAGAGACAGCGTGTTGAGCTCAACCTGATATGGTATGTATTATTTAATTATTTATTTTGATTACAGGTAGCAGAGGTAAATATCAGCATAGACAGAAAGGCCTCTGAATACATGTTATGAAGGGAGTTTTTAGAAAAACAGTGTAAAAAATGTAATATAAATAAATAAATAAAAATATTAAAATAAATAAGATAAATAAAAAATATATAGAATGAAACAATACAAACAAGATCAAAATAAATACTAGAATAGAGAATAATTAAATAAATAGATGGCATAATCATATGTGAGCCTGCAGCACAAAAGCAGTCTTAAGTCGCTGGGGTATATTTGTAGCAATAGCCAACAATACATTGTATGGGTCAAAATTATACATTTTTCTTTTATGCCAAAAATCATTAGGATATTAAGTAAAGATCATGTTCCATGAAGATATTTTGTAAATTTCCTACCGTAAATATATCAAAACTTAATTTTTGATTAGTAATATGCATTGCTAAGAACTTCATTTGAACAACTTTAAAGATGATTTTCTCAATATTTAGATTTTTTTGCACCCTCAGATTCCAGATTTTCAAATAGTTGTATCTCAGCCAAATATTGTCCTATCCTAACAAACCATACATCAATGGAAAGATTATTTATTCAGCTTTCAGCTGATGCATACACCTCAATTTCTAAAAATTGACCCTTATGACTGGTTTTGTGCTCCAGGGTCACATTTGGATGCAAATGATTCACAGTAAAAGTCTAGCTGTATATTCTGACTGAATTCATTTTTCCAAGCAACATTTAAATGATAGATTTTTGATTATAATATAGCTGATGTGACAGTGGACACTCTCTTCACACGCAGCATTCAGGGCTATTTTCAGAGAGCCAAAGCGTTTGAGAAGCTGAAGATCTTTTTATGACACACGGCTGTCATGCAAAACCAATTTAACAAGTAAAAACATCAGTGTGAGAGAGACGGCAGGCCCTGTTTACCGTGGTAAATGTCCTGCAGAGATCCTCCACCGCAGTACTCCATACAGATCCACAGTTTATTCATCCTGCAGCACACACACACACACACAGACAC